CAAAATTGATGCAGTTTATTAGTTTATATTTATAAATATTTATCATATGTGTAGCATGACTGGCTTGACAGGAACAGAACAGATGGAACATATCTAGTTGTAAATATAGATAGTGAGATACTGAAATGATTAAGTTCAACAGCACATTGCCATTGAATTCAGACTGAAGTGAGGAAAAGGATCAGACTTTAAAGCACGGCAACAGTAGAAGAACTGTATATGTTTTTATAGTCGTTCTGAACTATTTTAAAAGCACTCTCAAAGTGCAGCAGAGCAAAACAGTATTATAATGCTGTCAAAGGTCTGGAGTTCCACTGGCTGTTGGCCAGATGCCATGGTGCTAACTGAGCTACACTAAGTACCTTCTTCTCAGCCTAATTCAAAATTTTTCCTATCCATAAGCTCTCCCATGTCTAATTTCTTGCCAAGGTTTTCTGAGAGGAATCAATACTGTCTTTTCATATGGATGGAACACAACTTATATAATTACTCAAGCTAGAAGACAACTAGCTGTGATGTCTGTGTCAGGGTATCCTGTATAAGGTTTAATTACTCTGCTAAATCACACTATAAATGCCCACTATTCAGCACTGATCAACTTTCTTTTAAGTATTTTTATGCAAAATGACGCAATTGTTTTGTAAAAAAATATTATAAACAAGTTTACTGACTCTATGATTCAAGTGTTCCCATCAGCTCTGTGTTCCAATTCCATAGGTAAATATTGTCTATGAAAAGCTACTTCTTAATTATGATATAGGAAACAGAGGGCTCACGCTAGATGTCTTTGCAGGAGATATAAAGTAATGTTTCACTATGGACACTCTTGCCTATCCTTATTCAAACAGGCCTTTCAAATATCTGTGGTGGTCCACACATGACACAATTTATCATTTTCTTCATTTTATTATTAGATGACTTGACAGTGTTATCTAAGTTCATAAGTACTGAAGTTGTAGGCCTCAACTGCACAGAGACCATAAGTTCCCCATCCCTGCACTCAGCGGTCTCCCCAGTTACTTACCAAAGACTTCCAGAGGCATGTGCGTAACAGGTAGGATAGATTACAACTTTCCCGTTTTATGGCCACAGATGCTTAAACATAAGGGATGTTGAGTAGCCTGGGGAATGCCTTCTCCTTGAGGCAAGGGGAAAATCATAGATGTGGTTGCTTAAATCACAGTGTTCCCTAGCAGTTTCTTCCAGAGTGTGCAAGCCTGCTGTCGCTCAGACCTGCCTGAGCTGTGTATGTGTGTGTATGTATGCATGCATTTCTTCACACCCAGAGCACGTGTTGTCATCCTACAGTATCAAAAAATTTGGAAGTAAGGCTTATGAAGGTACCCTTCTGATAAACAGCCACAGATATGAAGCAAACCATTAGATTCGTTGTGCCTCTGTGTGATACAGGAGGCATCTGTCTGGCCTTGAAATCTGTGATTTGTGGCTACGTTGTAGAAGGTCAGCAAAAGTGTTTGTACATTTACTTTATACAGTAAGATAACTATCTGTTTAGGAAAAAAATTATTAACATATCCTGTAAGCATACATTCTAATCTCGGTGCCCTTTACATCTTTTTGATTTTAAAATCATACAGTCTACCCTTTCTACAGTAACCTTAATAAACATATTTTTAGTTCTATTAAATACTTAGCTTCAAGTTCTTCATAAAATATCAATATTATTGATTCATCCTTTTTCTCTCTTCAGGGCATGGTCTAATTTCACATCAATTTGTATAATGAAAAAAGGGGTGAACTGCCATAAATGAATGCTAAAGCATCAGTTAAAAAGCTTCATCAGCAACAAGGATATGCCATATCCTTTTACTAATGAAGGAAGATACACTGCAACATAGAAAATCAGAGATGATCTGATGCCTATTTCTGCTAGCAGATTTTGTTCTTTAGTTGGCTACAACAGTTTTATGATGACGTATTATGATTTAATTTGACCATTATCAACATTAAATTTGTGGAAGATTAAGTAGGTGATTAAGTCCAATGGATTGGAAATGGAATTATCAAATTAAATCATCAAAAATAGTTTTCATTTCTTATCCCTTTATATTTTGTTAGGCATTTATTTTTGTTTCATCAACATAAAATATCCCTGCAGTATGACTTCTGTTCACAGCCAGGACAATCAAATATAAAAACAAATACATGAATTTTAGATATTCAGGTGGTCTATTTTAACAGTAGTAGGTAATTTTTTCTCAGAAGAAGTCTTGCTCTTGATTAATTGAAGGTTGATGGAATCCAG